CCATTAGCCCACAGCGCCACACCAGGTTGTTCATGTTTCTCCCAAGGAACAGCTGGTAGTTTCGAACTGCAGACCTTGAGGTTAGCAGCCCGATTTGTAACCACTACACTACCAGAGCTCCTTTCACATCAGGTAGTCGGGGAAATATGGTGGGATTATATTCTGCCTACTCTGTGGTAAATATGTTTTGATGGAGCTGAACACCTTTTGTTTTGTTTTTAATATCGGTATAATTCTGACTTTTATTTGTATTTGGGGGTTAGAAACATTACAGATAAACTAACAGATTATTTTAGTACATACATGGTGGTGATGGTTGTGTGCCATGGAGTTGGTTCCCACTCATAGTGATCCTATATGGGGTTTCCGAATCTGTAAATCTTTATAGGATCAGAAGACGGCATCTTTTGTCTGCAGAGCAGCTGGTGGGCCCAAACTGCTGACCTTGTGGCTATCAGCCCAACTCATAACTCATTACACCACCAGAGCTCCTTAATACATGAAATATATGAAAATCCTCAGATCATAAAGGTGCACTCAAACAATGAACCACTGGACCACATTGGCATGTTTTCAGTTGGGGTAATAATTACACTTGTGGAAGGTCCAGGTTCATGTGGATTATCCTTGAGAACAAGAGCGGCATTTCTAGTCAGAAAATTAGTGAGAGTTGTCTGCATGGTCCTTTTCCTTTTTCTTGTATTTCCTGGTAATACCTCATTGCATCCCGAATCAATCTGCCTATCTACTTGAACAAAGTGATCAGCATTTGGATCCATGTTTTCAAGCAACTAAAGTCCCTGATTTAGTTTTAAAAACACTTTAGCTAATCCTATCAGTATCTTTCGGCCCTCACTATTCTGGTGCTGACAGTGTTCCCTTGCTATTCATAAGGTTTTCAGTGACTAAATATTCGGAAGTAGTTCATCTCTCCTTCCTAGTAGTCTGTTTTCGTTTGGAAGTTCAGCTGAAATCTATCTACCATGGGTGACCCTCCTGGCATTTAAAATACCAGTGGCATAACTTTCAAAATCTTAGCAACACGCAAGCCACCACAGTATGACAAACTGACAGACGACAAACTCTAAATAATCATTGCGGAGAGTGAGTATTCTGGAACACTGAATTGTGCTCATGAGGGACCTGTACATAGACCAAGAGGCAGTTGTTGAACAGAACAAGGGAACACTGAATGTTTTTAAAATTAGGAAAGGTGTGTGCAAGGGTGGCATTCTTTCATCATACTTATTCAGTCTCTATGTTGAGCAAATAATCCAAGAAGCTAGATTATATGAAGAAGAACTTGGTATCAGAATTGAAGGAAGGTTCATTAACAACAGGCTGCAGATGTATGTTAGGTACCATTGATACGGTTTCGACTCATAGCAACGATGTATACAACAAAACAAAACGCTGCCTGGACTTGTGAGATCATAATCATTGATAATATTTGAGCCCATTGTTGCAGCCACTGTGTCTTTTTTATAACTGATCCTATGCATTAAAAAGGAGCTCTGGTAGCGTAGTGGTTACGAATTGGGCTGCGAGCCGCAAGGTCAGCAGTTCAAACTACCAGCTGTTCCGCGGGAGAAAGATGAGGTGTTCTGCTCCCGTAAAGATTTACAGCCTCGGAAACCTGTACAGGGTCGCTATGAGTCGGAACCGACTCCACGGCACACAACAACAACAATGCATTAAAGTGTCGCCATCCTTACTGTTATTATCCCTGGTGCACAAATTAGGAAACTGAAACATAGGGAATGTAACTAACTTGTCCAAAGACACACAAGACAGTGGTTCTAAACTACACTGTTATTGTTGTCAAGTGCTGTCAAGTCGGTTCTGACCCATAGTGACCCCGTATAGGATTTCTGAGGAGCAGCCGGTGAGTTTGAACTACAGACCTTACGACTCAAACAGACTTTGCAGTCCAGTGCATTAACCCCCAGCACCACACCAGGACTCTGCACTATCTGTAGTACTGTGGTATTAAATCTGTTTCTTTTGTCAGCAACAAACTACCAACACAGTAGAGGAGCCTCTGGATCTTATCCGGCTCAGTCTGGATGAGCGCATTTATGTGAAAATGCGAAATGACCGAGAGCTTCGAGGAAGGTTACATGTAAGTACATTCATTAAATTACCTTGGAATCACAACGCTTTCCTGTCATCCCTTCCTGGTTCCACCTCTGTCCAATGTAAAAAAAAGAAAAAGAAAAAAATTTTAATGAACAGAGGAGCTGGAATTACCTAAATGTCTTTGCACCTAATACAGTTATTCATGTTCTTGACATTCTTTCCTAGTAACACAAGTATGCTTTTTTAGGATATTTTTATTCCTTTCATGTTTCCCTTTTGCTTATTTGTAAATAACATTTATGTTCCATTCTTATTTAATTTTTTTTAAAATTACATATGCATAAATACATGTTTTGTCATAAAAACATTGAACATCAAATACACAGAATATTCTTTGGAAAACCAAGGGGGCAGGGTGGAGATTACTGTTTTATATTATACATAGTAAAATAAATTATAAATGCTTTACAAAAAAAAAAAAAAAATTAAGAAGTGAACATAAACAACACTTAACAGTAGATACAAAAAAAAAAAAAAAGCAATCCAGAAATATATATATTGTTATAAATACCATTAAATCACTATGAGTTCTGACTCATAGTGACCCTGTGTAGAGTTTCCAAGGAACAGCTGGTGAGTTTGAAACACCAACCTTGTAGTTTAAACTGACCTTGCACAATCCAGTGCTTATTCTACAGTACCACACCAGGACTCTAGAAACACACAGTAAAAGGGACAACCCATTTCCTTTGTTGTTGGTGGTTGTGGTTGTTGTTAAGTCTCAAGAATTCACCTTTTAATAAAAGGCTGGGATTGAGGACATCCCTAAATTTCTGAGTTGAAACATTGTTAAGTGCCGTCAAGTCATTCCAACTCATAGTGAGTTTATGGGTTTCCATGCCTGTAAACCTTTACAGACGCAGGAAGCCTCATCTTCCTTCTGTGGAGTAGCTGGTGAGCTTGAACCACTCACCCTGTTAGCATACAGAGCTACCGTACTAACCCCTTCAGTATTTGTGGTTGTTTTTCTTAAGTGCTCAAGACGATTCCAACTCATAGCAACCTTGTATAGGCTTTCCAAAGAACAGTTAGATGGTTTGAACTGCAGACCTCTATTAGTAACCATTGTTAAAAATTGGCTCTGTATTTTTCAGATCTTTTCTGTATTTTCACACATATGCATATATGTGTATGCAAGGGACTTCAAAAATTTGTGAGAAAATGGAATTAAAAGATTAATAAACTTTTTACAAGAGCTTTGTGAAGCCCCCTGTATGTGAACATCTGCATATATTTACATTTACTCTGTATGCACCACAAAGAGGAGTCCTGGGGGCAAAACAGTAAAGTGCTGGCCTTCTAATCAAAAGATTGATTGTTCACACTCACTCAGTGGGAGAAACACCTGGTGACCTCCTCCCATAAAGATTAGAGCTTTGAAAACACTGTAGGTCTGTTCTGCTCTTGTCATATGAGGCTGCTATGAGTTGAAATGGACATGATGGCACGTAACAACAGCACTTCAAAAAATAAGATGTGATTCTGTTACATACTTATTTTTTGGCACCTTTTTCATTTAATCTTTCTTAGAACTCATTAGTCATGAGTACATTTAAATCTCCTTTCTTAGAACTCATTAGTCATGAATACATTTAAATCTCCTTTCTTAGAACTCATTAGTCATGAATACATTTAAATCTCCTTTATTCTTTATGATGACTGCCTAAGATTCCGTATATGTTAGTAATGATATTTAGGATTGTTTTTCTGCAGAAAACATTTTTACACATATTTCTTTGCTCATATCTGCAAATATTTCTATTGGTCTGGTCTTGAAGTGGTCTCATTCAGAAAGAGAGTGAGCTGATGGTTTGCCTCTTCTTGATGATGTACTACTTTCTTGAAGGTGGTATTTTATTACTACTACTCTGCTCTATACTGATTAAAAATAGGTAATACTCTTGAGCATTTAAATATATGCCAGGTACTATGATTCTAAATGTGTAATATGTGCAATATTTAGCTTAATTTTTATAATGGCCCATCAAGTATTCATTATGCCTGTTTTACCGTGGAGAAAGTTCAGGCTCAGGAAGGTGACATTACTTGTTTCAAGTGGCACAGTACATAGTAAAGGGAGAGTCAAACTATAAATCTAACTTCAGCCTCACTCTTAAGTACTATGATTCCCCTTCCATAAAACCTTTTAAAAATAAATGCTCGTATGTGGTTGAGAAGGAAGTGAGATGGTGGTCTTACTCTACAGCTGTTGTGTGTTGTTGAGTTGACTCCACTTCATAACGACTCTGTATAGGGTTTCCCAAAACACCTGGTGGGTTTGAACTGCTGACCTTCCTTAAAGAAAAAGGAGCTCTGGAAAATGGAGTAATAGCAACTTGGGTAGAAAAGTGGAGTTGGGCTTAATCACATGTGCCAGTGACACGTGAGAGACCTCAAGACAGAGATGTTACTCTTGACTCTCAGAGCTCAGTTCCCTTTGTAGCGTTTATGTTTTAATTAGTCTATGCATCTTTCTTGTTTTTCTGCCCCTCACTTACAGTTTTTTGATCTTGTTAGTGCGCTCTGTAGCGCTTCCCACATAGCTGATTTACTCCTTTTATTTTCATGTGAGCTGGTAAACCAGTTAACACTGAGTAAGTGGGTTCTGATCAGTTCCAGAAATTCACCTTTTAATAAAATGCATAAATTCTGAACCTTGCATTTAGGACACCCCTGATTGCTGAGTTGAAATGTTTGTTGATAGAGCCCATAGATGTGAAACACAACTTCTAAGTATGTTATTAATGGTTAGGGTGTTGCTCCACTTATGCCTTTATGCCATTACAGGGAGGACTGAAATAACAGTAGTCTTAGATGGCCTTTAAGTCACCACCTTAACAGTTAAAAATACTTTTTATCTTCTTTTATGTATTTTGTCACAGTATTCCAGGTCTAATTGTAAGCAGTCTATTGACAAATGATGAATTTATTCTTTTTTATAATTAAATATCATAAATGATGTGATTACCTCAGAGAACAAGTTGGGTGGTTAATTAAAAAGTAATTGCAAATAATTTGGGGTACATTCCTTTTTGGCCCTATGAACAGTTTTGTAGTTTTGTCAGATTGATTGTTATTTAAGTGATCTACAGAAAAGCAATGTATCAGTACAGTCAGGATTAATTTTTATTTGTGTGTGAAAATGTGTAGTATATGTATTAGTTGCGTTACTTGTAATTGAGCCATTTACGTAAAGTAAGGTCTGTTTTTCATAATTCGATTGTTAAATTTCTTGTCTTCACCTTCCCACTTCAGGCCTATGATCAGCATTTAAATATGATATTGGGAGATGTGGAAGAAACTGTGACTACTATAGAAATTGATGAAGAAACCTATGAAGAGATATATAAAGTAAGTTTTGAAGTTCTACTTATCACTTTGAAAATGTCATTCTCAACTTCCAACAGCTTGAACACTTATGTATGGAAAGCCTATCACGTGGGTTAATGCGTTACACTGCAGTGTTGGTTTGAACAGGTAGGTCAGTGGTTCAAGCTCATCAGCTTCTCAGAGACCCTATACAGTGTCATTGTGAGTCACATCCGACTCAACAGCACTTAACAACAACAATCATGGGCTACACAGACTTCAGTACAGTTTAGCATTTTTAAATGGACACTTCATGATCAAACAGACCTGCTGTCCAATACTGGCTTGGCCACTTCCTAGCTATGCTTCCCTGGGCAAAGTAATTGCCTTTGCAAACTCAGTTTCCTCATTAGTAAATGGAGACGTTGCATAAATGTACCTCATTGGATTACCAGGGTTCAGCGTGATCTAAACTAAGGTCCGTACATGTGCTAGGTTAGCAGCAATACTGAACAGTGTCTCAATACTTGTTAGATGATATAGAGTCGATCCTGACTCATGGTGACAGCAGTGGTTTTTGGTTGGACTTTGGAGCTATCATCAAACTAAAGGTTGATTTTAGTAGGAAATCTGAAGCCTTATCAGTGAACTTTTCATACTCTTGCTACATGAAAATCCTTTGGTCTGTCTTGTCCTTTGAATGGATCCATAATTATTTGGCAACTTCAAGCACTGGTCACTTGGAAAATAATATAGGTCACTGAGCTATGCAAATCTTCCAGGTGCTGACTCATTTCATTGCTTAATATTGTTTTAAAATCACATTCTTTAATATTGCTGATGAGCTCATGTAAAACATCTTTAAGTTGTGGGAAGCTATCTAACTCACAGTGGGAAGTAAAAGTTTTCCAAACTTCTAATTTTCATTTCTTCAAAACCAATTTAATCCTTGGCAAAAAAAAATATTAGTTGTTTTCCTTAAAGTGGCATGTTTCCTTCCTTCATTTTCAGGAAATTGCCAGTTACTTGAGTCTGAAAACCCAAAGTGTGTTGGGCACTTGTTCTTTTAAGTTAAAATAGTGGTGCATGCGAAAAGTTATTCCACTTACAACTCCATTGTTCAAGTGCTTTTCCTCAACACAGTTGTAGTTCATTAGGCAAATACTGCTTGATGGTACTTCCCAATTTATCTCACAGAATACTCAAATGAAATGTATGTTCAAGGGTTGAGATATAATCTAACTTTCACCAGTTCAGCAAGAACATTCTGAAGTACCTTTTTTTTTTTAAAAAAAAAAAAAAAATGTATGTGCTGGTGTGGCACTGTAGGATAAGCACTGGACCACAAAATCGGTTTGAATTGGTTCAAACTCAGCAGCTGTGCCTCAGAGACCCTATAAAGCGTGGCTATGAATCAGAACCAACTCAGTGGCACTTAACAACAACAACAGTAAAGTTTTGTAGAACTTCCTTTGTACTAAGGTATCACCATTGCTTTTGTGCCACTTGTGTGGATGAAAAAGGCAAATAATATCTTAACATTGTTGTGAAAATATTGTCTTCACAGACACTTTGAAAAGGTCTCAAGGGTGTGCGAACCACTTTTAAGAAATACTGCTCTATTCTATTGGCCTGCCCACATATCTTCCTAGAGCACAGTGGTTAAAACTGATTTGGATTTCAGGAAGTCCTGGGTTCAAATCCTGACGATCTTACTTGTTGGTGTTGTTAAATGCTCATGAGTCAGTTTCTGACTCTTAGTGACCCTGTATATGGTTTTCAAGGAGCAACTGGTAGATTTGAACTGCCTACCTTGTGGCTTGAAGTCCAGTGCTGATCCTACAATGCCACAACAGGAGTCCCAACTACTTTACTTACCAGCTATATAATTGGGTCACATTACCTAACCTATTGATGGCTGCATTGCCTTGACTGTCAAATGGGGATAATAATAGGACCCACTTCAGAGCTCTTTTAATGTAAAAAATTACATTAGCAGTCCTCAGGTTAGCTATGGCACATAGTAAACACTTCAGTGTTTGTATTGTTGAGCTTTTCGTACTGCTTTGTCTTGGCTTTTCTCAGACCACTCCTGACTCCATTGCTCATTTATGGGTATTTATGTCCTTTTTGGGAGTTCTGGTGTGGCATTGTGGATTAATGCGCCAGACTGCAAAGCCATTTGAACTGAAAGGTCGGTGGTTCAAGCTCACTAGTCACTGCTTGGAAACCCTATGCAGGGTTGCTATGTGTCGGAACCGACTTGACAGCACTTAACAACAACATGTCCTTTTTGACTTATGTGCGTTTGTTTTACCTTAAGAGATGTCATTCCGTTTTTTTACTTGGACAGTTTTATAAGCCATATTGTTGTTATGCTGTTGAGAAGTGACTGAGGGGCTTCAGCTGTTAACCTTGTGGATAGCAGTCCAGTGGTTATCTTATGTCACCACATCATGACTCCTATAAGCCATGAGTGTTTGACATTAGTCAGTAAAGAATAAAGTTTCAGCTCTTAATAGGTTTCAGTTCAAATCTCGAATCCAAAGGATGTACTGTTTCATATTAACTGGTAGCAGACAGAATACTTATTTCTCAGAGTTATGCTCCAAGTAGGAGGGAACTTCAAAAAGTTTATGGAAATGTTATGTGACCTTGTAGTTGCCCACAACTTGTCTGTCGCATTGTCGTACTGTGGTGGCTTGTGTATTGCTGTCATCCTGAAAGCTGTAGCGCTGGTATTTTTAATACCAGCAGGGTCACCAATGATGGAAAGGTTTCAGCTGAACATCCAGACTAGGAAAATGGAGAGACAGACTATATCTGATTATTTAGTCAGTGAAAGCCTTATGAATAGCAGTGAGACACTGTCACATAGCACCAGAATGTTGTCAGCCAGAAGGAGAGCTCCTCAAGTTGGAAAGCACTCAAAATACACCTGGGGGAGAGCTGCCTTCTCAAAGTAAAGATGTAAAAACAATGATGTTAATAGAATAGCTTTTGGTAACTTCTTTTGCTGCTAGGACACAACTTAAAATGAGAAGAAATAGTTGTAAACATCCATTGATAAACAGAACATGGAATGTGTTAAGTATAAAGCTAGAACAATTGGAAGTTGTTAAAAATGAAATGGAACGCATTGACATTGGCCGTTTTGAATCTAACAGCCACATGGTTTACTATGCCAGAAATGACAAACTGAAGACGAATGGTGTCACATTTCATTATCAAAACGAACATTTCAAGATTTATCTTAAAAGTCAATGCTGTCTGTGATAGGATTGGGATAATATCAATTGGCCTACAAGGAAGACCAGTTAATACAACTGTTATTCAAATCTACATACCAACCAATAAAGCTAGTAATCATGAAATTGTAGAATTCTACCAACTTCTTCAGTCTGGAATTGATCAAACATGCAATCAAGATGTCTTGAAAATTACTGGTGATTAGAATACAAAGGTTGGAAATAAAGAGAAAGAATGAGTCTTTGGAAAATATGGCCTTGATGATAGAAACAATGCTGGAGATTGCATGATAGAATTTTGAAATGACTTCTTCATTGCAAATACCTTTTTTAAACAATATAAAGAATGAGTATACACATACATGTACCTCACCAGATAGAATACACCAAAATCAAATTAAGTACATCTGTGGGGAAAATCACAAAAACCCAGAAGAGTTGTGAGATGACTGTTATAATATCATATAGGAAGAAAGCAAAAGGTCATTAAAAAGATAAGAAAGAAGGAAAAGACCAAAATGGGTATCAGAAGACACTCTGAAACTTGCTCTGTAGCATAGAGTTTCTAAAGCAAATGGAAGAAATGACATAGAAGAGCAATGAGGACACAGAAGAGCTAAACAGAAAATTTCAAAGGGCAGCTAGAGAATGCATAACCAAAGGTCTGGAGTTAGAAAACCAAATGGGAAGAACACACTCAGCATTTCTCAAGCTGAAAGAACTGTAGAAAAATTCAAAACTCAACTTCCAATACTGAGGGATTCTATGTTCAACCATTTCAAGATACAGTATATGATCAAGAGACAATGATACTCAAGGAAGAAATTCACTGTGCACTGAAAGCATTGACAAATAACAAAGCACTAGGAATTAACGGATTACAAAATGAAATCTTTACAACAAACTAATGCAACACTTTCTTACCTGTGCCAAGAAATTAGGAAGACAGCTAGTTGGCCAACTGATTGGAAGAGATCCATATTTGTGCCCATTCCAAAGAGAGGTGATTCAACCAAATGCAGAAATCATCAGGCAATATCATTAACATTACATGCAAGTAAAATTTTACTAAAGATAATTCAAAAACAGCTGCAGTGATACATTGATAGGGACTCCCACGGGTTCAAGCAGGATTCATTGAAGGCTGTGAAATAAGGGATATCATTGCTGACGTAAGATGGATCTTGGTTGAAAGCAGAGAATACCAGAAAGATGTTTACCTGTGCTCTATTAACTACACAAAAGACTTTCCGATAGACTTTTCAATGACAAGCTATGGACAACATGGTGAATGGGTTTTCCATGAGGAGCTTGTACGTAGACCAAGAGGGTATTTGTTCAAATAGAACAAAGGAACAGTGAGTGGTTTAGAATTAGGAAAAGTGTGTGCCAGGGTAGTATTCTTTCACCATACTTATTCAGCCACTTTCCTGAGGAAATAATCCGAGAAATTGAAGAACGTGGCATGAAGATTTGAGGAAGACTTACTAACAACCTGCAATATGCAGATGATACAACCTTGTTTGCTGAAAGCAAAAAGGGCTTAAAATACTGATGAAGATCAAAATACAGCCTTCAGTATGGATTGCAAATGTAAAGAAGCCCAGATTCCTCACTACTGGACCAATAAACATCCATATAAATGGAGAAAATATTGAAGTTGGATCAACTATGAATACTCAGAAACACCAGTCAAAAAGTCAAA